GACACTAGTCACGTGACCTCGCTGACGCAACAGTAATTTTGAAAATTATGTGTTCTGACATTAAACTTTCTACATCGCAGTAAAAGTTTTTACTTTACAATTCATCGATTTTCATTTAAATGTTCTAGTTTCCGGTGGCACATTCAGGCCAAGGAATAAAAAAAGAGTGACTTACCTTTTCCTTGAGAAAGTCCCGCTCTTAGAACATACTGACGACCCACGAAGAGTTCATTGACCTTCTTGTAATCTTCCATAAAATTCAAGTGAACTTGAGACAATTCGTTCCTTTAAAATATTAGTGGTATTTGTTAAACATCATTTTAAATGAAATACTAATATGTTAAAAATATATATATAAACGTTTACAATGAGCTTAAAGAAATTATCATTAAGCCATAATGGAAAATGTCATTGCTCCCAAAAGTGTTGGGGATATTCCATCTATCAAAAATGATCCAACTGTAGATGTCGAACTAGTTAGCACCTACGGAGAATCAATAAGGGGTCAGGAGTTGAATATCTAAACCCTCAACTCCTACAGCTTTTCGCTGTCTGCAGCCAGTTGGGTGAGTCTTTAGACATAAAAAAAAGTCTTGTAGTAGTAATAAACCACCCTATATTTTCAGAATTTAACACCCTCACACTCCACCCTTTTCAATAAGTATTACAAGATGACGTTAAATTAGATAATCGCCTTGATATTTAGATATAAAAAATAACCTTGTAAGAAACGCAAAAATGGACATAGAAAGACAAGTAGGTTGAAAACGAACACCGAGACAGACAGAAAGAGAGATAGACTAAAAAAAAAGAACATACAGACACAGAAAGTTTGATTTACTGGAAAAAAAGACATTGGGACAGACAGAGAGAGACCAAATAAACACAGAGAACCACAGACAGTCATGGACAGAGTAAGACATGGGGTCGAGAACTGAGCCTTACTGTAAGTTATGCGTGATTTTATCTACTTAAATATTAATACGCGTTGCTAGGATATAACGTAAATATAGCTTCCATCTTTGTTTATCAAAATCATGAACATGTTAAACGATTTTTATTTCTGGTCTCAAGACACATCAGTACAAAACATATACTTCTAAAGCTAATTGTCCATCGATCCGGATACTCTAGCTCATTCCTATGTGTTCTTTACTACTTTTAAAGGTTATTGTTTGTTGACGGATCCGGATATTCGAGCTCATTCCCATGTTTTCTTTACTTCTAAAGGTTACCGTGAGTTGACGGATCCGGATATTCTATCTCATTCCTATGTTTTCTTTACTTCTAAAGGTTACCGTGAGTTGACGGATCCGGATATTCGAGCTCATTCCCTATGTTTTCTTTATTTCTAAAGGTTACCGTGAGTTGACGGATCCGGATATTCTATCTCATTCCTATGTTTTCTTTACTTCTAAAGGTTACCGTGAGTTAACGGATCCGGATATTGAAACTTATTCATATTTTTGCATTTCTAAAACTTACCTTGCGTTAACGAATCCTGACTTTCCACAAGTGATAAGGTAAAATTTATCGTCCGATATTTCCAGTTTCTCGTGGGCCCGGACAGCGACTACGACAGATTTTGCTTGAGAGCCTCCACCCTGGTAGAGATAAAACACACACAGAATGTGTAATGTAATATGAAGTTAGGCAACATTTTGTCCGGTCAACATTCATTATGTATAGAACGTTCTAATTAAGTAAAGAAGACGTTATCTGTAGTATTTTAAAACTAATTTCAAACCACAAAATAATCCCTTGTAAACAACATAAAATGAATTAAATCGATGTTGTTAAAACACGCTGTAAAGAGATTTAGTAAGTGATCAAAGAATCTCTAGTCTTGATATTATCAAAAAAACTTTCATGCACGTTATAACTCGCTAAACCCAAATGTTTTAGTTTCCAGTTCGACTATTCTAGAGCGTTCCATCTGTTCCCAAATAACTGTTTGTACAAGATATGATACATAATTCTTGTAATCAGGGGTTTGAATCCACAACAATAGCCAAGTTCTAAATTCGCCAGAGATGAGATTCAACAATAACTGTGGATCACACAAAAAAGGATCATATTTTATTTTGTCGAATAAATATTAAAACAAACTTCTTTCACTATATTTACATAAGAAAACAAGTGTTAAAAAACGATCTTTTTCCTTCTTTTTTTTCACACTCGCGTGCCTGTTTCGAACACATCATGCAGCTGTGTAAGAAAACTTTCTCAGCTTGTTAGACGTTTTGGTCCTTTTCTATTCTTTAAAAACCAGTTTAGAATTTTAACAAAAATACAACGATTATTATCATTTCCTGTTTCTACTTATATGTGGTACTTTTGGTCCCCTGTACAAACTACGCCCTTATTTCTAGGTGAATGAGCTCACAATAAACGAAAGACAACCATATAAAGTGTTAAAACTTCCTACATGTGATTGGTAACAAACTGTAGAATGACAGAGATGTGGTGAATACATTAGCCAGAAAACTGGTGTAGTGATAGAAATAACTGTGTAAGTAAAACTTATTCAAAAACAAATCTTTCAGAAGCAGGTCATATCCTTGGAAATCTGTTTAAACTCTTAAACAGTCCAGTTACTAATGATCGTTAGGACGAGCAAAGAGTGACAGACAATTACCAATAAAAATGACCACTGGTCAAGCACTTTTCTTCAGCCCTCGATTTAACAATCACTCTCTCAACTAGCCAAACTATTCAACTTACTTTGTAATTTAAAATCAAAGGCAATATTTAGAAACTTAAACAAACACAGTATTTATGTGGTTTCGATGTAAAATTAAACCTTTTATTTTACAATGTATTATTTGGAGTGTGAAATATTCCTTTATTTTTTCCCCGCATAATACCTATAATTATATTTTCCCTATGTTTATTATATCGAAGCTATCGATTTATATTCTATATTCATCTTAATTCTATGTATTTAATAACTTTAACACCAGATGTCAGTTCTTGTTACAACTGTTGCCTAGCTTTATCGCTCAGACATTGTTGTCGAGTGCATTGTTGCCCGATCAAGGCTGGGGTAAGAGGGGAGAAAGCTCGCAAAAAAGTATTTTTAACGTAGAGAAAAGTCCATGTATAGTAAAAATAATAGCCAGGTGCCCATCTCAGAATTCCCTTAGTG